TCCTCCTCCTCTTCCTCCTCCTCTTCCTCGCTCTCTATTTTCCCTCTTTTCCGCCCGTTTTTCAGACCCATTTTTTTCTCGCTCCTCTTTTTGCCCTTTTTCTCCTCATTTAGGGGGAGGTCCTCGTCCGAGTCGCTGGGGGGGGGCTCTTCCTCCTCCTCTTCCTCCTCTTCCTCACTCTCCGTTTTCCCCCTTTTCCGCCCATTTTTCACACCCGTTTTTTTCTCAGTCTCTTTCCTCTTTTTGCCCTTTTTCTCCTCGTTTTTGGGGGGCGGCTTCTTCCTCTTTTCTTCCTCTTCTTCCTCCTCCTCCTCTTCCTCCTCCTCTTCCTCGCTCTCTATTTTCCCTCTTTTCCGCCCGTTTTTCAGACCCATTTTTTTCTCGCTCCTCTTTTTGCCCTTTTTCTCCTCATTTTCGGAAGTTGGTTTCTTCTTCTCTTCTTCTTCCTCCTCCTCCTCTTCATCTTCTTCATCCTCTTCCTCGCTGTCCATTTTCACTCCTTTGGCCCCATTTTTCACAGGTTGTTTCTTCTCGCTCTCACTCCTCTTTTTGCCCGTTTCCACCCCATTTTTAGGGGACCGTTTCTTCCTCTTTTCCTCTTCTTCCTCCTCCTCCTCCTCCTCTTCCTCACTCTCCGTTTCGACCCTTTTCCGCCCATTTCTCACAGCCTGTTTTTTCTCACTCTCGCTCCTCTTTTTGCCTGTTTTCACCCCATTTTGGGGGGGTGACTTCTTCCTCTTTTCCTCTTCTTCCTCCTCCTCTTCCTCACTCTCCGTTTCGACCTTTTTCCGCCCATTTTTCACGGGCCGTTTTTTCTCACTCTCACTCCTCTTTTTCTCCTTTTTCTCCTCGTTTTTGGGGGGCGGCTTCTTCCTCTTGTCTTCCTCCTCTTCTTCCTCCTCCTCCTCCTCTTCCTCACTCTCCGTTTCGACCCTTTTCCGCCCATTTCTCACAGCCTGGTTTTTCTCGCTCTCGTTCCTCTTTTTGCCCGTTTTCACCCCATTTTTGGAGGGCGGCTTCTTCCTCTTCTCCTCCTCTTCCTCATCATCCTCCTCCTCGTCCTCATCCTCCTCCTCTTCTTCCTCCTCCTCCTCCTCTTCCTCACTCTCCGTTTCGACCCTTTTCCGCCCATTTCTCACAGCCTGGTTTTTCTCGCTCTCGCTCCTCTTTTTGCCCGTTTTCACCCCATTTTGGGGGGGTGACTTCTTCCTCTTTTCCTCCTCTTCCTCCTCTTCTTCCTCCTCCTCTTCCTCACTCTCCGTTTTGACCCTTTTCCGCCCATTTTTCATGGGCCGTTTTTTCTCACTCTCACTCCTCTTTTTCTCCTTTTTCTCCTCATTCTTGGGGGGCGGCTTCTTCCTCTTCTCCTTCTCTTCCTCATCATCCTCCTCTTTCTCATCCTCCTCGTCTTCCTCTTCATCTTCCTCACTCTCTGTTCCGACCCTTTTCCGCCCATTTCTCACAGCCTGGTTTTTCTCGCTCTCGCCCCTCTTTTTGCCCGTTTTCACCCCATTTTTGGGGGGCGGCTTCTTCCTCTTCTCCTCATCATCCTCCTCCTCTTCCTCACTCTCTGTTTCGACCCTTTTCCGCCCATTTTTCACAGGCTGTTTTTTTTCACTCTCACTCATCTTTTTGCCCCTTTTCTCCTCATTTTGGGAGGGCGGCTTCTTCCTCTTCTCCTCTTCCTCCTCCTCTTCCTCACTCTCCATTTTCACCCTTTTCGCCCCATTTCTCACAGCCTGGTTTTTCTCACTCCTCTTTTTGCCCCTTTTCTCCTCATTTTTGGAGGGTGGCTTCTTCCTCTTCTCCTCTTCCTCCTCCTCTTCCTCATCATCATCTTCTTCCTCCTCGTTTTCCTCTTCCTCTTCGTCACTCTCTATTTTTACCCTTTTCGCCCCATTTCTCACAGGCTGTTTTTTCTCGCTCTCACTCATCTTTTTGCCCGTTTTCACCCCATTTTTGGAGAGCGGCTTCTTCCTCTTCTCCTCCTCTTGCTCCTCATCCTTGTCCTCATCATCCTCCTCCTCTTCCTCTTCATCTTTGTCTTCATCACTCTCTATTTTTACCCTTTTCGCCCCATTTCTCACAGCCTGGTTTTTCTCACTCCTCTTTTTGCCCGTTTTCACCCCATTTTTGGAGGGCGGCTTCTTCCTCTTCTCCTCTTCCTCCTCCTCTTCCTCATCATCATCTTCTTCCTCCTCGTTTTCCTCTTCCTCTTCGTCACTCTCTATTTTTACCCTTTTCGCCCCATTTCTCACAGGCTGTTTTTTCTCGCTCTCACTCATCTTTTTGCCCGTTTTCACCCCATTTTTGGAGAGCGGCTTCTTCCTCTTCTCCTCCTCTTGCTCCTCATCCTTGTCCTCATCATCCTCCTCCTCTTCCTCTTCATCTTTGTCTTCATCACTCTCTATTTTTACCCTTTTCGCCCCATTTCTCACAGCCTGGTTTTTCTCACTCCTCTTTTTGCCCGTTTTCACCCCATTTTTGGAGGGTGGCTTCTTCCTCTTCTCCTCTTCCTCCTCCTCTTCCTCATCATCATCTTCTTCCTCCTCGTTTTCCTCTTCCTCTTCGTCACTCTCTATTTTTACCCTTTTCGCCCCATTTCTCACAGGCTGTTTTTTCTCGCTCTCACTCATCTTTTTGCCCGTTTTCACCCCATTTTTGGATGATGGTTTCTTCCTCTTCTCCTCTTCTTCCTCCTCTTCTTCCTCCTCCTCTTCCTCTTCGTCACTCTCTATTTTTACCCTTTTCGCCCCATTTTTCACAGGCTGTTTTTTCTCACTCTCACTCGTCTTTTTGCCCGTTTTCACCCCATTTTTGGAGAGCGGCTTCTTCCTCTTCTCCTCCTCTTCCTCCTCATCCTCGTCCTCATCATCCTCCTCCTCTTCTTCCTCTTCATCTTTGTCTTCATCACTCTCTATTTTCACCCTTTTCGCCCCATTTCTCACAGCCTGGGTTTTCTCGCTCTCACTCCTCTTTTTGCCCCTTTTCTCCTCATTTTTGGAGGGCGGCTTCTTCCTCTCCTCCTCTTCCTCCTCCTCATCTTCCTCCTCATCTTCGTCCTCCTCCTCCTCTTCCTCACTCTCCATTTTCACCCTTTTCCCCCCATTTTTCACGGGCTGGTTTTTTTCACTCTTCTTCCTCGTTTCGCCCCTTTTCTCCTCATTTTCGGGGGTCACCTCCTCCTCTCTCTCCTGCTCTTCCTCCTCCTCCTCCCCCTCGCTCCCTTTTTCCCCCTTTTTCCCCCCATTTCGCAGGGGCGGGGCCTCCCCTTCCCCTTCCCTCCCCATTCCGCCTCTTTTCGCCCCAATTCCAGGGGGCGGGGCCTCCCCCTCCCCCCCGTTCCCGATTTCCCCCTTTTCTGCCCCAAATCCCGCCGTCGGGGCCTCCATTTCGGGCTCCGTTTCCCCCTTTTTTCGCCCCAAAAAACGCGGGGGGGGCGGGACTTCCGCTTCGGGCCCGCCTCTTCCGGGTTACTGGCGGTCACGTGGGGGGCCCTTTGCTATCCCACAATCCCCCGCGCTCCCCGCCGCCCGCTGGGGGCCGCCATTTTGTCGCCGCCGCCGTCTGCCGGGCGCCGCCATTTTGTTTCCGTACAGGCGGCGGCGGGAGGAGGGGGGAGAGGGGGCGGCGCCCAGCGCGGCGCCAGCC